AGATTATTAAGAAAATTATCCCAGGAAGCAGTTACACCGTGAATTGTGTATTTTTATCTCAGAGTAGGATCAGAGATTTTTGTGAATTAATACCTAATTATAAAGGAAACTAATTTGCAACCAGATTACAATATACAAACTTGAATTTGCTTTTTAACTGCATGTATTTACTATTTCTATCATAGTGTAGCTGAATAATAGCGCCCCAAATTCCAAATACAACAATTAGCTATCGGGTTGAACGTTTCGTTATTGGCCAGCGAAAATATAATTGCTTAGCTGTATTTAAAAGTTCCGAATTTACAGATTGGCGTCAAGAAACACGTGGTGAACGCTTCATTTAGGAACTAAGTTGTATATTGCTCGCTAAAATGAAGATGAACAACCCCTCTTCTAAAATAAGATACCTTCATAAGCATCAATCAAACGCTTATACGAAAAATTGAAGTATCGCTTTGATTAAAAAATGAAAAGCTTAATACGAAACATCGACGAACTTTTGCGGAAAGCGATATTTACAACTTATATAAAAATAGTAATTGATCAATAAATTTTAATTAAAGAAGACCCTAAGACGTTGTTTTTTCATTCAATGAGTTCGATGTTGAATCGTGTTTTCTGAAAATTACTAAATATACTGGGACAATATAATAAATTTTAATGATAGATAAAAATTCATGATTTAGAAATGTTACTTTAGTTCATAGTGCAGATAAATTGCAGCGATTCTAGATAGCTTTCATTTTTAGGAACATTTTGAATTTATGTAACTAGGAATTCTGGTGTAGGCTTTTATACCTTACCAGGTTGTTACAAATTAATTACAATCAACTCGAAAATCATTATACTTAATTAAAGTTTTACGGTAATTATAGTTAAGTAATCATTAAGTATTGGCTAATTTAGCTTAGCTTTTATGTTACAAATAATTTTCTTTACTCTTCATGTTCCTGTGTACGAAACGTTGGAAGACTTTACATAAACGACATGGTTTAAAAGTGAAATCTTTGCTGCATTATCCAACAATCTCCGTGAAGACCTACATCCCTGTATTTATTTATTTATTTATTTATTTATTTTCTTGAATCAACGGGCTGAAAAGCCCTTTTACAAAATCATAACAACAGGCAGTAATTTTTAAGCACTTCCAATCAATGATTTTTAAGCAATCGATACATGGTACCGTCTGCTCAGGTCAATGTTACTGTCAAGAGTACTCACGATGTGTTGTTATTTGCCTGTTTATACATATATTTCTTATGTTATAAAAATTAAATATCAGAATATGCTGAAAGTTCTTCGATGTCGTAATTGTACCATATATTATTAAATGGTAACTTTACAGCAACTAATTTCCTGCCAAAACATTGACCTTATCTGACATTGCTTTTAACGATGTCATCTAACATTTGGACAAAAATCTTTCAATAGGATGTTAAACCAATAAAACCGCATATTTCTGTTGAACCTTTTGTGCAAAATAAAAGTTTAAATAAATAAGAGCATGCAAATGCTTACGGCAATAGATTTCATCAGTTTTGTCCGTGCAATCATCGACTCCATCGCATCTTTTGCTGACAGGAATGCAACGGCCTAAGTCACAGCTCAACTCTCCCTCGGCGCAATCTATGGAAAAGAAACAAACTGAAACAGACGCCAATACGTAATATCAAAATTTCCAGGAATCGTAGATATCCTGGATTTCCCTGGCAACGTCATAACCGATACTCCCAGGATAAACACAAGAGTTAATTTCGAGAGTATGTCATTGATAGAAAATATTTCGATCCAACGGATATTACTAAAGTAATAATTAGCAATAAATAATTAAAACAGTTAATCAATCAATCTGCTGCAAACTTTTTTATCAATTTTTACGTTCAATATTTATTCATCTAATTGCAGTAATTAAATATATGTCATCAATGATTGCAAATAATTAATTGATAATCTGATAAACTGATGCTGTCGTGTGTTGAAGTTGCTTCCTAATGTTTCTCTGAAGAAGCTCGCCATTCCTGCTAGCGAAACGTTAGGAGCAACCCAACACACAACGGTCTTTAGACCCGAATCTGAACAGCATCAGTTCAATTAATTGACAATCGTCCAACCAATCTAAAATTTATAAAACTTAATGTCTTGTAATTTCCAACAGAATTAAATAAATACAGTTTTGACTTTCTACAGATTCAAAAAATACACCCACCATAATATACTAATTTAAAGATGTCTACTTATATAGACTAGAGTATATCGCTATGAAAAAATGGAATACTAATGTAGATTTCAACAGATTTATTAATTAAACTTGACGATCGTTTTCCTAAATTTTGATTTCATCAGAAGTTGAAACCAAAGTTTGGCGAAAGGATCGTCAAGTTTAATTAATAGATATGCTGAAATTTACATACATTAATATTTCATTTTCACTAAATTTAAGTGTTAGTACAAAACCGTTTAAAATCATTCTAACAAGAATATTGTTTGGCTTATAATATTTCAACAGACAAAGACAAATACAAATGCAAAGAACAATTTTTGTGATTGTTCCCAAAATACTCAATGTATCATTAGAAAAGCCTCTTTCGCTATGACATTCGTTAATAAATAAAATTTGATAAACGCAATACATCGTCGAAATATTTAATTATTATCTAACGCATATAAATTTTGTTTTTGCGTTTATTCGTATTCGTTTATCAAATTTTACTTGAAAGAACTACACACTACCTAACCCTTCAAGCTTAACATCACATTCCTACGGGAATAACTTCAGTTTGAATGGAAATTCTATAATATGAAATGCAATATTTCGAAAAAGAGAAAATGATTTGACGAAAACATAGTCGATCTCCTTCCACCATAAGCGATAAGTTAGTAGGTATATAATATAAACCAACACCAAAATGATTTATGTATGTATATAAGTAGTACCAGCGGGGCAATTTTTCTCATCTTCTCCGTCTGGACAATCTGGATATCCATCGCATTCTTGGTCAGCACAAATGTAATGGGAAGTGTCACCACATCGGACGACATCGTCAGCACGACATTTTGAAGGAGGTCTTGATGGGGTTTCTTGGGTTTCATTTCTAAATTCTTGTGTACCATTAGTTCCTGTTACATCCGTTTCTTTTGGACTAAATGTTGTTATTTCTAGAGATGAGTGAACATTTTCCAAGTTAGATACATAGATATATATATACCATGAATGGTTTGTTAATGGTGGTAAGTGCTTCCAACAATGATAAGGTGCATGGTCATTTGGTATTCCGTACAATAAAATAAAATTGTATTTTTTTTTAATTTTTAGAATTCTAATGATAATTGACAAGGTCTATTTGAAATGTTCTACATTATTCTGCTGTTTCAATTTAATCAATTTTGCTCCTGAGCTTTCAATATTGCAAATAGAATACAATTTTTATAAATTTCCAGAAATTTTAGTATAAAAGAACAGAAATTTTATATCTTTGCTTTTATTTTCATTTCTCAAAACTGTCCTCAAATCGATTTTGTTTTTACGCTAAATGCATGTTTAATAATAGAACAGTTTCATTAGGTAACTATTTTCTTAATAAGTTATATTACAATTAGACAGAGCCTGGTGAAAATGAACAATTACTCTTGTCAGTTTTAATGAGAATAACCAAATGATTTTCTTGGAAATATTTCACGTTACTTTAAGGAAGTTAATATAAACTAGAAGCTTTTACCCGCGGCTTCGCTCACTATGATGTCGTAGATATTTGTCAAAGATCATTGAAAATACAATAATTTGATACATGAAAAAGAAAAACTTCTATCCCTCAGGAACACTATCTTTTTTTTTTGTATAAAAAGTACCCTATTCTATATACCGCATTTTTATATGTATTATTAGTTAGGATTCCAAAAAGTATGTAAAACCAAATTGGTTCAATATTTCACCAAATTGTTTGGGTACATATGTAACCGTACATTATTCAAATAAATGTTTCTTTAAACTTTCTAGGGAAAAGAGAACTCATTTTTGTGTAAACTATTTCCAAGAATTTGGTTTATTTTAAATCAGTCTACTGACGTAGGTCTTTAAATGTCAAGTAGGCAAGTATTTAATGCCAAAATTAAAAAGTGGCTTAATTAGGTATTTGTTAGTATATGCATACGTGCATGTGCATCATACAAACATTTAAAATAAGAAACACACGACTCTTACAATACTAAAACTAAATAAAGCAAGCAATTTTATTACTTGATATACAGAAGGTTATAGACAGAATAAATATGTGACTTTAGTGTCGGATAACTCGTTGAGTTCTAACTGTATCTCACATTATACCACATTAAATCGATCCAAAAATAATGCTCTTCTCAATTCTCAATATGTACCCAAATTGATAATTTTATAATTGAATATAAACAAGGGGCACCAAGTTAAGTTGGTTTCCTCAGTTTCCTCATAGTAATGTGTGTATAGACGTCAATTAATGAACTTTTGGCATGAAACACTTTTTTAAGGGTTTTTTGATATAACAGCTTCTTACCCATAAAACCCCTGTGTCTATGGATTCAAAGGTCCAATTTTTTCAAATAATACTGTTGACATCTGCCTTCATTATTTGAGTCTATACTTTGGCGTACCAATTACACATCAAAGTGGACATTAATAAATTGATCCTTTGATATGAGATACGATTAACATTCGTCCATTTGTATTCTACCTATCATCCTCTTTCTGTACATTGTATAGACTTTAGATTAGAAATATTTTTTATACGTTTTGCTTATAATTTTCCTTTTAATGTACTAGAAATTTGAAACTACACCATATTTGTGGCATTTCATCACACTTACAAACAACACTTAAAAAATTTTTAAGTTGATATCAAATTACTAACCAAAGTGGGTCGGGTTTTACATTTAATGAAGAGGAATACAATTTTTTGTTCCGTTCTTACTGTAATATGATATTTTCAAGGTGCAAAAGAATAAGGTTTAGACATCCTTCAACATTACAAAACAAATTTACGATGACATTCCGACAAAAACTTTGCAAATAAAATTCAGAATCATAAATAAAATGAAACATCATAAAATTAATATCATTAGTCACCCAGCGCTACATTTACGAAATCCTATGTAAAACTAGTTTTATTGCCTGACAATGTTATTGCACTGTTAGATGATTGAAAATCATGAGAACTACAAGGACAAATTAAATTTCTGGGGATGTATCTAATGGATCTTTTAAAACAACAACTTCGTATATATTCTTTTATAAAACATATGATGGAAAAAATCATGTTATTGAAAATTTATATACTTTGCAGTTGAAATAAAGTGTAGTTTCTTTTCCTAGTTGTTTTAGTTTTTTTTTATAGCAAGTTCAAAAAATGTTGACTAGAATGTGATATAAAAATACAGCAATAATCGTGGAAGCCTGTGCTTGCATTCAGTTTCATTTGATGTTACAGTAACAGGTATTAATTTTACATTATTGTGCATTGTATATTGTAAGTACTTTTAGCGTCATTAATGCCTTGTATTTACAGTATAATTAACATCGTTAGATACGCTTTTATTTGCACTAATAGATCACTTGAATTTACGGGAGTGCATAACCGATTATGTCCTCATTGGTTTACAAAAGAATAAAGTACAAAAACTATTGTACAATTGACATTTTTCATTACTACAATTTTGAAATTGATCTAATAGTGCAAATATTACAGTGCATTATTAAATAATTATTATCAAGCAAAGCAGCTCATTTATTATACAAGATTAGGTATGTAAGTGATTTTAAGATATTGCATGAGATACGAGCCAAAATTTTAATAAAAATTTAAAGTAAAACATTTAATCTATGTATAACATCAGTAGGCCTTGCAAGCAGTATCTATCTGAACCTGTATGATTGCCCCTCTGGAAGTAAACCTGAATTTTTCCTGGATTGTGTTAAGGGACGTAAATCTCTCCCTTTCAGATACCCGACTGGGGCAATATCTAAGGATTAGGGTAGATACTCGAGCACACCTGGACGTTTATTGAATGAATCGAATTCACATCTTCGATCATCCTACTACCCGGATATTGCCCCAAACGACATTTTTTTACTTCCAATGTTGATAGGGCATCTGAAAGCGAGATTTGTACCCATTGATGCAACTTAGGAAAAAACTCCGACTCCAACCGTAACACAAGGAAAAACTTCCAGAGATTATTCCAAATGGATAGGTAAGATAAGTGTGCAGCATCACTTACATAGATACCATTTTGAAGGTAATATTGAAGTTATTGATTAAATGTATTTTGTTCTTTTTATTAAGCAATTCCGGATGTTGTCTTATATTGTCTTAAAAACCAAGACAAATATCAAAAACAGGATGCTTGTGTGTGATTAAGATCAAGACAAATAACTCGAGAAACAACTAGTCAAGCAAGGAGCAAATATCCCGTTCTCGAATTAGGACTATCGGTGCATCAATAAAAGAAACCAGAGCTCATACCTCGTAGTGGCGCATAAGAAGCAGCAGATTGCAGATCATAATTAATAAAACTAATAGTAGATACAAGATTCGTGTAAATATTGTGAATTAATTAACATTCGTATTTGTGGTGTTTATGTAGTTTTAAGAATACTAAATAACGGTTTACTAAATTTTGTTAATGATGCAAAATAGTAGATATTTTATTTTAAACTAATTTATTGTCCCTATCTATATTAATTAATTAATTAATTAATTAAGTAATGGTTGGTATAAATTTATGTATTGCATTACCGAAAGGTCACAGAAATAATATATCTTCTGCTGTTCGTTTAATATTAGCAAAGCAAGCAAATTATGCAGTTTTAAAAAATGTCTTAAAAATTTTAATATTTTGTTTCAATTAGCAACTTTGTGAAAAAATAATTTTGAAAGTATATATATGTACATACTTATTGTTTTTCTAAATCTACGGATAGTATTTGTTTTAGCATTTTATATTCCAAAATGGAAACCTCATAATTCTCTCGAATATTTAGATTCAGATTATTAGAACAATTTTATTTCTATTATTAAATAGTCTCAATATACAGTGGCTGCTGACCTTATTTGCCACACCCGACAGAAATAAAAATCCTAGTAACTTTACTATATCAATCATTCAATAAATTGCATTGCAATGCAATAATTGACAAACTTTTCTTCCACTGTAACTTTAACATTTGAATTGTAAGTAGTTTTAGTGATTGAAATGCGCATTTAAATTGGCTAATTTACTGGACGGTTGACTTAAAATTTAAAATCCTAGAAAACAACTAATCCTTAGATGCAACGAGATGATTTTACAATAACATTTAAATTGCGTTCTAGTCTCTCGATTAACAAATGTCTCTAACAAGATTCTTTTTTATCTTGAATATCTTTTTAATTGTCCTACTGTAATCAGGAGCAAAAAAATATGAGTATTCAATTCTATTGAAACGAATAGAAATATTTTTAATAAATTACCAAAAATCATAATAAATTGTACTTCACGTGAGACATAGGTTGTTGCATTGTGTTATAAAAATCCTATTTACCTTATTTCGTATATTATGTTAATTTGTTTTAATAAGGCATTTTATTAATTACTACTTAAGTATTATAGTATTTTTAGTAGATAATTAAATATGTAAAGCGCGCTTCACGGCATATATACACAGGGTTTCGCTCTTTTATAAGTGTATTTATAAAGCAGTTAATAAAAGAAACTCTGTGATAAAATAAGTAAACAAACAAATAAATAAAATAAAAAGAAAACCTACCCGGACATCCTTCTTCGTCAGATCCATCATTGCAATCTCTTATACTGTTACAACGGGAGTTAGAGGGTACACACTGATTCCCATCCCGACAAGACAACTCGTTTACCTGACATACGATTGGTAATGGCGGTGGAGCTAATCAAAATTAACGAAAATAAAAATAGAAAAAGAAACAATAAAACCAAATAAAAGTATTGGGACCTGACAAAATGGCGGCTTTTATCAATATGGCGGTTTTTATCAAGATGGCGTCTATAAAATAACACTTCTAACATTAGTTACTACATAAAATTGCAAATAATAAAGAAATACATCAACATTAGTATTTGAGATAATATTTAACCCAGGAAACGCAATTTTGTAAAAGGAAATAGGGTTTCAGGAAATCAAATGAAAGTGATGTTGATGGGATGAGTATGCGAGGATCTAAATTAAATAAGAAGTCTCCATCAGATTAATAGTGTGATAGCTAGTGGAAATATTTCCAGTAAATCTTTATTGAGAGAAAAATCAATCATATTATTATCAGACTAGATATTCTATGTCAAAATGTACCTACATTATTAACCTCATTTTCAAGACAGTGTGATACTTTAAAGAAGATTTTCATTTTTAACAGTCGGGGGTTTATTTACAATAACAAAATAAGTTGAAAATAAATGTAGGATTTTATTATGTCAAATATTCCTTAATTAAACTACTACTGGTAGTTGCTTCTTTACGTGGAAATATGTACAGAAACAGAACACACTTTTGCATTCTTTTTCATACTAAGATACGTATTTTTTTCTATAAACTCCCGAAGTAATTGAGAACATTCAACAAACCGATTGTTTTTTCTTTGGAAAATAATGAAAATTTATATTTTTTGAACGAGTTTTCCGTAATAAAAATTACATTATTAACGTCAAAAAAAAATGTTGGTAGTGTTATTTTATAATAACTTAACTTTCTACGAACCGTCAGATCGCAATACAAAATAATAAATTAAAACAAAATAATGCAACTAAAACCAAAACTATTTTACAAATAACTCGATCAAATGAAACACTGAAAACAGCATATCCTTTTCATAATATACAGGATTTCGTATACTATAGCGTCCGTATAGATGTTTTACTTCTTCGAAATGAGCAGTCTTACCTTCGAACTGTCTGAAGCTGAAGTCATCGGTAGACACCCTGTAATTTCCAAGTTTGTGGTAGTTTTGTATGTAGTCGTATAAATGGTTTTTAACTGCATTGTGATCATTATTTCCCACTGAGGCAATATCCACAAACAGTTTGCTTGAAAATGAATCGGCTGGTCGTGGTCTAAAAGCACAAAAGTACTATTAGATCCGGTCAGAAAGAAAATCCCTACAGTAATGCTATGTCCCGAGTAAAACTACATCCCCATAAGCGATAAAAAAATCGTAAAATTGTTTACGTTCGAATTTCGTAATTAAGTAAAGAATTACAAATATTTTTTGTGCATACTGATATAGTTTCCCAAGTCATTTATCTATTTAGTTATTCGTTAATGGTGCAGTTTAAACAATAAGTTTTTCTTTGACAAAACAATTATTCCGTTAGAAAGCAGTTATTACGATCTTGAATAAATTTCCGTAACTGTTCCTGACTACTTAAACTAACACTAAGTACTGCACTTTTACTCGTGTGGACAGTGCCACGATGAACTTTTTCAATGCTTTTGAATTTTCTACACATATAGACACATGCATTTTTCATGTGATTCCATTCACAGCCATTTTCAAGAAAATACATGTAAATTTGGGCACATACGCGTGAGCCGTGTGACACTTGTACCGCACTCGTTTTTAATGAACTAAGAATACCGGGGCTTTATTGTGAAAGAAAAGTCACAATACTGAGAAAATGAAATAAATGAGAGAGAAATGGTTTAAGAAAATAAACTTACTCAATATTAACAACCCCTTGAGCCATTTGTTCACCAGGTACATCCCGGTAAACATCGTTTATTGCTCGAGCTATTTCATCAGAAAGAGTTGTATACAAGCTTCCTCTGTGGTCTCTGAATTCTTCCCTAAAGGGCTCGAAGACAGTTAAGGCCACTCTGTAATATACTGAAAAATAAAAATTAATTAAAGAAACCGTTATACATATAAATAATAAAATCAGTATTTATTACTTTGTGTAGAAGAAGAAAAGAAGAAAAATATTTAAATTTTGTTTTAGTTCAAATATTTTTTTTATTTTACTTTTCAATATTATTAATTTTCGCACTTTTCACTTAACAAAGCAAGCCTATGATATTATAATATTAATAATTAACGAATGTCTCGTACCAGGTTTATCTCCCGATTGTGGCGGCTTTTCACCACCTGGATGAAAAGCAGGTGGAACCGCCGAACCTTCTCCTGATGTTACATCCAAATCTTCATCGTCGGTTCTGTAAGTATTAGTTTATATATATAATAATGGAACACTCAAAAATGATGAATATAACAGAAAACTTACATGAACTGGGCTTCTGTAGGTGATTTAGTTTGATTTCTTACATTGTTTGCAAATTCAGCAGTGAGATCGGGGTCATCGGTGGATTCTATGACCTGTTTAATAAGAGGAGATTTATTATTATTAACTTTTATATTCGCAAAAATTGAAGAAATAAAGAAAACAAAAAGTATAAATTTTCCTATTTTTTGCTGATATGAAGGGAGCTTTCACAGGATAAACAGAAAGAAAATATGGAATATAATGGAAGAAAAAGGAATAAATATGAAGTTAAGGAAAAGAATAGAAAAAATATATGAAGCAACATTATTTAAAGTGATAATCAATGAAAAAATTAGCACGATCAAATGGGTCAGACAAGGATGTCCCTTGAGTACAGCTCTTTTCATGGTAGCTTTTACGGATATATATATATATACAATGAGGAAAATTCAAATGGGAGTAATAGTATGGACATTATCTTACGCGGATGATATAGTATTGATGGTTAAGAGCGAAAGGGGACTATAGAAGTGATGAAAAAATGGGAAGATACATAATAGAAACAGGCCTGGAGATGAACACATAAATCAAAGATAATGAGAGGCAGCAAAGGTGGTGGAAGAACGAAAAAGATAATATTTACATAGAAAGGAAAAGAAATTGAAGAAGTAAAAATGTACACCTACCAAGACTAGGTACATACAGAAGAACAACAGAAACGAAGAGCAAATAAGAAACTTAAAAACAGGCAACCGCAGTCTTAAGGAAAGTATGGAGCATATATGAAAGGGACTTCAAGGAAAAATTGGAATAAAAAAATGTATTTATTTGAAGTATTGGTAGAATATATACTGAAGTATGGAGAGCGTCTATCTATCTATTGAACGGTAGTATTTAACAATGTTTAATTTTACGCAGTAAATTACGCAAAAAGTTATTTTTCTAAAAGAAAATGTTTTATGAAGTACAGGAAATTAAATAACAGAATCAAATAGATTTTTATTTTGCTGGAAAATCTTTCTGTCTCAGTAGCTATGCAACAGACAACTGGAAACACCGCTTCCTGGTACCAGGAAACTGTAAGGATAACGTAGCCGTATTGATCCCGAGGGAATATACGACAAAACAAATTTAATCATATTGGAAACGAGATGGCGGTACGGTACGGAAATTTTGTAAAATACACCAGAACCAGAACAGCATGAAAGTGTTTATTTTCAACCGAACTAATTTAATTAAAAGTATTCTTACTAATGATTTTTTTGTTTAAATCCTTTTCTGTTATTGTAAACCTATTGTTCTTACTAATGCAGATATTTAAGCTGTTTACAATTTACCTGATTTTAGATACCTAGGAAGTCAGATAAGTCAGGATGGATGGAGTAGTAGGGATATCAAGCAAAGGATAGCGCAGGATCGAGTCGTCTTTAATAAAAAGAAGTCACTTCTATGCTCGCGAACCGTTAATTTAGAAATTCGAAAAAGGTTCTTAAAGGTGTATGTTTGGAGCACGTCGTTGTACGGGTGCGAAACATGGACAGTGGGCGTGGCGGAAAAGAAAAGGTTAGAAACGTTCGAAATGTGGTGTTATAGGCGGATGATGAAGATAGAAAAGGTTAGAAATGAGGGGTATTGGAAAGAATAGGAGAGCAGAGGACTCTATGGAAGTTAATAAAAAATAAGCGAGATAGGTTGGTAGGACACCTTCTCAGGCATGAAGGTCTAGTCAGACATATTAGAGGCAGACATAGATTAGATTACTGTTCGCAAATAGTTAAGGATATGGGTTGCTCTAGTTTTAGGGAAATGCGAAGTTTAGCTCAGGATAGGAAAGAGTGGAGGTACGTGTCCAACAAGTCTTAGGACTGACGACCTTATGATGATGATGATGAACAATTTACCTGATCGCCAGTGGTGACATCTGTAGAATCAACATCCGATTTTTCTGTGGTAGTTGATATCCAATCATCAAACCAACCCCGTTTTACTCGTCTGAAGGCACTTGAAAACCATCCGTCGTCTTCGCTTTCTTGACTAGAATCTATTCTGTTCGCATTTCTTCTAACTACACTATGACTATTGTCTTGACTAAAGGTCTTAGGATCTTCTAAATTATCAAAAACTAGATCTGAGTCCAGCTGTAAAAGAGGAAATGAGAAACAATTATTACTTTTACAACTACAATTACAAAACGTATTAATAATAGACAAATTCTTATACTTTATGAAATAGTATAGACTTATAAATGTTATACCCAGATTACTACACAAGTTTTTCTTTATTCTTATAATTTATTTGCTATTCAATAATTTTTGGAAGGACTAATTCAAAATTTGTCTTTATAGTATAGAACCCGTCCAAATTTGAACAGTGCAATTGGTACACTTTATTCAAATAATACTGTAAACGTCACAAAAACATGCTAGCAGTTGTCCTGCCGGAACCGCTTCTAAAAGTACTTTTGTACAGAGGAATTGGTCCTGCCAGTAGGGCACATACCTGCCAATGTATATCCTTCCACTAGAAGGACGAGGGCACTTGCCAGCAGTGCGAAAACTGAAAAATTCGTCGAAAGCTTGAAATAAGACAAAAATTTCTGTACCTCTCTCAGTCTCATAAGAGAGACCCAAAAACCTTAAGCCATAATTTGCAGTACCCAACATATGATTAGCCGTTTTTCCAGCATGATATAAGAAGACTGTACGAATACGGAGACTTTCAGCAAGGAAAACACTAAGTGACACAAAATTACTCAAACTTCCTCTAATTTCCACTAAGCAGAATTATACATCAGAGCATACGTTTGTAATAATAATTGTAAACTTATATTCTCAAGTAGATTTTACGTCAAAGGTATATTCTAACAATAGATTACTATATTATCCCGAAATCCTTAAAAGTATACTACAATTAAACAAACAAACATGCATCAGAGAGACGACAATTCTCTAGACCCTAGATGTCCTGTTTATACCCTTGTATCGAATAACAGTAAATTGAATTTTCTCATTTTAAGCGATTATTTGAATGTAGAAAATGTTTATATGCTAAACTTCTTAAATTTATTTCATTAAAGCACAATTTGTGCAATAGAAGTTGTTTCCATTTGTAGCATCTTCGCATTTAATCGATGCAACACATGGCGCCACGATTTTCAAGAATGCAAATCTAAAAAAGAACCAATTACGTTACATAATTAGTAGAGGTGCCGATTCTCAGTAGGTAGTAATTCCTGAAACCTCACGCATACGAACATTTAATTTACTTGCTGTTGAACATTGTAATTATGCTGTTTTACTGCCAAGTACGTTCCTGATGGAGCAATTTTATTGTTATACATATAGCAATTACATTGTATGCATGTATTTCTTGCAGCATAATAAGATGTTAATGTCGAGATATCAATTTAATAAAAGTTTCAGTAGAACTTTACGGTTTTTAATAGTAAAAGTAACGAAAAAAATGATATTCAACGCGAATTAAAAACAAATTTACGCCAAAAGGACAGTTGTTTAAAAACCAATACATAATGATTATGTACAACGTATACATGTCCAAAAAGAATTTTTGTGTTTCTGTCTGTCTATCACTGTGGGCTAATCTTTGAATAAGAGATTGTTAAGAATGATCTGGACTAACTTTTTTAATTTATTTGTTGGTTAACGCTGTACGGGTGCGAAACGTGAATGGTGGACGTGGCAGAAAAGAAAAGGTTAAAAGATTGGAAGCGTTTGAAATGTGTTGTTACAGGTGAATGATGGGGATATTGTGGATAGAGAAGGGTAGAAATAAGGAAGTATTGCAAGGAATAGGAGAACGGAGGACGAAATAGGCGAAATAGCTTGGTAGGACACGTGGGAATTAAAAACATGTTAGAAAGAAAGGTAGATCTACATTAGATTGGTGTTCACAATAGTTAAGGATGAGAGGATTAGCTCAGGATAAGAAAGAATGAAGGTGCGTGTTCATCAATTAAATACGAAGATGCTACAAATGAAAAGAACTTCTATTGTACAAATTGTGCTTTAGTGAAACAAATTAAAAAAATTTTAGCATATGAGAAAATTAAATTTATTGTTATTCGATACAGGAGCATAAACAGGACATCTAGAGTCTAGAGAATCGTCGTCTGATGCATGTTTCTCTGTTAGTACATAGGACTGACTAGCTTATAATGATGATTATAGAAACCCAAAAATCGCATGTAATAAAAACCGTGTAAGTAGTTAATTGGTAAGTTAATATACAGCCGCGCATATTCATGGGGATGTAACATGATCTAACATTCCCCATATGGATTCTTAGTTTCATTTTTTCATCTTCTTCAATACCGTATGATTATCTCATGAACTACCTACCATTTATGAACAAAACATCAGTTGTACGTTATTTATACTATGATCCCATAATGGTCTTCCTAACTCAACAGAAATATTTAAAAGGATTTACATCCCGATTGAAACAAATCGAACGAATATGATGCTGGTAAACTGAATTATTAAATATTTATTAGGCTAGAATTCGGAATTTTTGGGGCTAAAAAATCTGAAGCCATAAAATTTATTGCGACAGTATCGTGAAAGAGCGCCCTTTATTCTGCTGGAATTACATTGGACAAGCGCACGGATAGTTAAAAAATCATAAAAATTTTAACTGACGCTGGTTACAGTGCTGACACACTTTTTCATCGACGCAATATGTGATTCACAGACTATAAATAAAACTTTACTGCATTGTACGTATGCATGTACGGATATATATATGTATTAAGTGAAAATAAAACGCGAAACAATACACTTATTTTCAATTATCTGTTCGAGTTGATGACCTCATGGCCAGCCTGTTGCAAAATTTTCGCTCAGTGGTAGGTCGATTTTTTTAACGGTTTCGTTTGTTTTTGTTCGTTTTTGCCAACAGGATTGTGTTCGAAAAATGAATCAGCAGGAGAACATATAAATAACTCCCGTTTATTGCAAATAATGTAGTATATCTTCTACAGCATCTCGAAAGTTACAGTTACGGCCGGAAAACTTTGTAATTTTATTTTTAGAATCTTATAATATCATACTTCGTAAATAATTTCACCATCCATTTGTTTAAAAAGCTTTGAACATCCTGCAATAACTTTTACTCCTGTGAAACAGTTGACAGGACATCACAAAAGTTCTCTTTTTTAATATGTAAATATGTTTACTGCTCAGTATATTCTTCTCAAACGTTTTTGGACTCGCAAGAGTCTTCTAAATTAGAAACTAATTGTTAAGGAACCGTGATGGAGTTGTATTTGACATGCACCCGAGCTCTCAGCTGACTTTCTATTAAAAAACAGATAGACAGACTCACGACTGATCCTGTAAGGCTTCAGTTTTTCATTTGGACGTACGGAACCTTAACCCGAAAACCAACTTAACATTGTTGTAAAACAAAACATGTAATCTCATACATTCAAACTGCAAATGTTAATTTGTATGCACAAAACTGCTTTGTTAAAAGATTTACGTTATGTTCAGACCATTGACTTCTTGTTAATTTTTCTGTAATCTACAAGTAAAAAACTGTTTTCTGTATTTTTTTAAAAATTTTAGATTCAGCAATTTCGGAAATAAGGGGAATGGTCATTTTTTATCGATTTTCTTAAATATCTTTATAACTTTGTATTTTCAAATTATAAAGAAAATATATTTGAGACCCCTACAACAACCCCTCTCATTCTATATGTCACACGGTAAGTTTGCAAGTTTAATGCCCTATTGGCCCCCAACAATGACCCCCATGTTTAAAATTAATTTATATACGTTATGCGTCCGTGTTTGTGTCACCGAAATTCGGATCTGTACTAAATTTCAGTTTGATCAATCCAGTAGATTCGGAGAAAATTGACTGTGACAGACGGACAGATAGACACACGAGTGATACAATAAGAATTCCGTTTTTCATTCAGATATACGGAACCAAAAAATGAGATCTGTTACTTAATTCAATTATTGGTGTATTGTTAAAAATCGAACATTCTGTAAATGTCTAGATGATGGCCCCCACCCCCGGAGGGGTGGGTGGGATCGAAAAAGAAGGTCTCCCCCACCACTGTACCATAAAAAGTTCGTGGCGGTCTCACCTCCATAAAAAGTTATGGGGGTTAGATGGGGGTGGGGTAGGGGGGATCAAAAGTGGGTAGGGAGGATCGAAAGAGGGTGGTCACCTAAGTAAGACCCCATAAAAAATTTGCGTTTTCATACACTATAATTCAAATAAAATTCAATAAAAAAAAATATTTTCAAGCGGGTGAAGGTGGGGGATCGAAAGAGGGTGGTCACTTAAACAAAACCTAACCTAACCTAACCTAATATATCTAACTTTCTCAATATTTTTATGTATTTTTCATTAGTTTTACCTTTGAATATTGTTTAAGAATGACTATATAAATATTTACATGCCTAGAAATGTATAAAAATTGGCATATTTATTAACTTTGAACCCCCATAACTAGACCTCTATACATCTAGACCTTTACCGAACATTCAAATGTGACACTGTAAGTAATGTTTGGTATGTATATTCTATGTATAATGTACGAAAAGAGACGTCACAATTTCTTTTATGTTTAAGACGTTCCGAGATAAAAACTCGACTAGTATCGATGATAAGAAGGAAGAAAAATAATGATTGAGTCATGACCATATAATTATAAAAACATGCACATAAATAATGGACGATAGATACACGAAGTTTATATGACGTTATGCAGCGTCGCGAGATGTGCTGCACTAAGGCGTCGTCGAAGGCGCCGCTTAGTTGAAGCGATGCCAATCGATAGTAGAAACTTTTAAATTTTTTATCGGGTCATCAATCACGACGAGTTTTCTTAACAGGAGAACGTGTCTTGCAAAGTTATTGGGAAAGGAAGAGGCCGAACGCGAAATGCTTCGATTGGTATTTCATTTACGGTTTCATATCCAGGGGAAACCCATTTTTTGGGTCGAATAGATGCATGTGAAAATGTAAATTCGCGCAACGTACGGTGGTGGTTATCTGGCCGGCAAATTGCAATAAAATTCCAATTTGCTCCCAGTTTAATAACTGTTAGTTCCTTTTTTATTTTTTTATTTTTTTTTTTTTCAGGTCAGATCCACCCGCGGCA